TTCTCCACTATAAAATGTTGACAGTGTTCATTTGCTACTTTTTTCAATTAACAAATAAAGAAAATCCCTTTTGTTTATCAAACTGATTATAAAGGCAGCAAGGATTTTAAAAATTACCACTTGGCTGGTCCGAAGGTAGTGAGTTATCTCACGTGATTGTTCACAGTCAGTTACAGATTGAACTCCTTGTTCTACTACTTTCCCCCCTCCTCACTACTGCACTTGACTAGTCTTAAAAAAATAAATAAATAAATAAAAATAAAAATTACCACTAACTAGTATTAACAGATTTGCCTGCATTACCTATATAACAACAGACCCAAATGAATCCCACATTGCTCAGAATAGTATCATGTCTGATATAATCACATTCAAATCCCAATATTTTGACTATTTATCATTCATGGTGGGAATGTGAGAATGAATTTGATAAAGTACCTGTTTTGAACTTTGTGGCTTCAACCAATCTATTTTTTCAAGCTTCGTTTTGCTTTAAAAAATGTATTAATCTGGCCAGACATCCCATCAGTTCTGGTTAATCATCAAGTGAAACACAGGCTTCTTTCGCCAACAGCTACAATTATAGTGTCACTGCTATAGTGTCACTGCCGGCATGGTGGCTCACACTTGTAATCCTAGCACCCTGGGAGGCCAAGGCGGGAGGATTGTTTGAGACCAGCCTAAGCAAGAGCAACACTCCGTCTCTACTAAAAAAATAGAAAAAATTAGACGGGCATGGTGGCACATACCTATAGTCCAGCTACTTGGGAGGTTGAGGCAGAAGGATCACTTGAGCCCAGGAGTTTGAGGTTGCTGTGAGCAGTGGTAACAACACTGCGCTCCACCCAGGGTGACCGAGTGAGACTATCTCAAAAAAAAGTGTCCCTGCTAATGTCAAACAGAATGGAGGTGGTTCTCCTGTCCTAAGTTTATGATCTCACAATAAATATTCATAAAAGTATTCAAACTATGCAACATGTATATTACTTTGAAATCTTCCCTTTTAAAAAAGATTAGCATTCAAGAGACATTTTCTATTTCAGCTTTTTCCTAGAATTTCTAAAATGCTTACCAATTACAGGATATAAAATTTAAAACTCCAATGACTAATTAGGAGGGAGGAAAAGGAATACTAGCACATGGATGATAAAGTCACTAAGCCACTGGTTTCCTGGACACCTCCACACTGATGACTTCAGCCAGGACATCTCATGGTCTCACTTTTGCTTCCTGTCCTCTTTAACGTGCCCTATATTGAGTTTCTTATATTAACAGAAGGAAAAGAAAACAAGAAAGCCAGAAGTCCCTGAGTTTCATTTATAACAACTGCCGAGTGACGAGTAAAGGGGGAATGATTCCCAAAGTAGGATCTAGAACCCATGATTTGACCTATGCTAACCTAGTAGAAGCCTCTAAATGACATGACAAACTATATCATAGTTTCCAGAAAAGTAGTTTTTATCTAGAGGGAAAACCTCCAGATTCAATCTTTTCATCTCTCTCCTTACTCACTTCCATCATCAGGTCTTAATGATCTGCCTTCAACCCTATTCCAGCCAGTATTCTAGGGAGTTCTAAGCTCTCAACAAACCATTAATTGTTCCAATTTCCCCCTGGCATAAGTAAAGTCATTCCAAGGTCGACAATGGGCAGCAAAATTCGAATCACAAAACATTTGTACTATAAGACACCTCAGAAGTCATCTAGTTCAACCCCTTCTTTTCAGATGGGGAAAGTGAGGCCAGAGAGAAGAAATGAGCCAAGGTCTCAATGCTGGTCAGGGGCAGAGCCTGGCTTCCTTGCCAAGTCTAAGGCGCAGAGCCTGGGTTTCCCTCTCTGCCCAGTTCTAACATTTCAACCGCCTGCTTCTTTCTTTTTCATTATTGTAAGCTGTCTCCCTGCATCGTTACTAATTTGATGTTGCATTTTAAATAAGGGGATGATTTTTCTTTCTCATTACCACAAAATATGCTCACTATCAAAAGTTTGGAAAACACAGAGTTTTTCTATTTTTCTAATTATATAGCTTACACATTTTGTTTGTAGAGAACTTGGAAAGAACAGAACAGTATAAAGAACCAGAAAAAAATATATAATTCATAATCCCCCCCACCTGAGGATTACCACTAACATTTTGGCATATTTACTTCCAATCCTTTTTTTCTAAGTGTTGCATGTAATTATACTATATTGCATGTGCAATTTTACATTCTGCTTTTTTTTCCACTCCTGTTGGACTCAGACAACTCTGCATATGTGTATTATATTTCTCTTTCTTCAGCAGGAACTCATTCATCTGTCAAAAGGGTAATCGGACACTAAAAACCATGGTCACAGTTTTATTCTGAGGCTTTTCAGTCTTTTTGGTCTGTTTTATAAAGATTGTTTTGAAATTATTTTGTTGCCAAAAAGCTGTACATACTTTCTTCTGTTTGTTTACTTGGTTCCAGAAAAACCTCCCACTGAAATGATGTCTGGCCATATTCTGCCCAACACAAGCCAACATCAATACATGGGGAAATTTGCATTTGAAAATAAGATTCACATCGAAAATGACCAGTTTATTTTATTTTTATATAATAGCATTTTAATAGCATCTTCATTAGTTGGGGTTGTTATAACAAAGTATCATAGACTCTGTGGCTTATAAGCAACAAAAGTTTGCTTCCAGTAGAGGCTGGAAGTCTGAGATTAGGGCGACAGCATGGCTGGCGAGGGTCTCTGCTGATTCACAGGTGGCCATCTTCCTGCGTCTTCTCGTGGTGGTGAGAGAGACCAGAAGCAAGCTCTGTTGTGTCTTTTTATTATTGTTTTTAAATCTTTGTTATTTATTTTGTTACAGACACGGTCTTGCTCTGTCACCCAGGCTGGAGTATACTGGTGTGATTATAGTTCACTATAACCTCAATGTCCTGGGCTCAAGCCATCCTCCTGCCTCAGCCTCCTGATTAGCTAGGACTATAAGTATGTGCCACCATGCCTAGCTAATTTTTTGTTTGTTTGTTTTTTAGAGAGACAAAGTCTTGCTATGTTGCCCTGGCTTGTCTAGAACTCCTGGCCTCAAGTGATCCTCTCACCTTGGCTTCCTAAAATGCTGAGATTATAGGCATTAGCCTGAAAGTGACCATTTTAAAAGGTAAAATTACACAGAAACAAGAATAAAATTTATTATATCAAAAAGACCATAAGTGGGCCGGGCGCAGTGGCTCACTCCTGTAATCCTAGCACTTTGGGAGGCCAAGACAGGAGGATCACTTGAGCTCAGGAGTTCAAGACCAGCCTGAGCAACATAGCAAGACCCTATCTCTACAAAAAACAAAAAAATTAGCTGGACATGGTGGTGTGTGCCTGTAGTCCTAGTTACTCCTGCTAAGGCAGGAGGATTGCTTGCACCCAGGAGTTTGAGGTTGTAGTGAGCTACGCTGATGCCACTGCACTCCAGCCCTGAAAACAAGGCAAGACCCTGTCTCAAAAAAAAAAAAAGAAAAAAGAAAGAAAGAAACAAACAAAAGAAAAAAAGCCATAAGTGAGTAGTTGTGGAGGTTCAACCTCATATTGCCAAAGTATGAGCAAATGAGATATAAAACCCTCTTCCCCACACTCTATTCTCAGAAACCAGGTCTAGGCAATCTCAATTTCATAAATATTTCTCCTACAATCCTTACTCAGCTCTGGCTGAATGACATTATACAAAGATCACTCCCCCTTCTTTAACACTGGGCAGAGGTCCACCTCTGCATAAATGTAGAAACACTTACTAGGCCCAGTGTTAACTCCCAAATGCTTGCACCAGTGTGGAAATGTCCTGGGGGCCACTGCATCAGGGAAGGGGGACTAAGGAGAAAATTAGCTGCTGGAACAAACTGTACATTGTTGCCTTATCTACAACATCATCATGGGCCCAGTTTTTGTCTGAGTGCAAAGACACAATGCTATTAAAATCCAAAATTAAAACCAATTAAACTTGACAATGAGGAGAATACAATCCCTGCCAATATTCTATCTGCAGATTTAAACAGGTCATACCAATTCCTCCAGAAGGAAAATAAGGCATTCGTGCTTTCAGCAGTGTTGTAAGTAACATTAAAGTTTGGGCTCTAAAAATGCTAAAAAGTCTGATCAACAAAACATAGCCTTTTGAAGGAAAGGAAGCATTATGCTCCCTCCTAGCCCACAGTCCTCCTGACCTTTGTAGACAAGATCAGAGGTGACTCCGAGTAAGTGATGATGGCTCGTTGCAGTTCACCAATGAAGAGAATGGTTCTTTACCTCCTGGCTGAGCTGGGCACAGTCAGGCACTCTGGCTCAGATTAAAGGGGTTTTACGTTACCAACCAAACCTGCAGTACAACACCAGTACAATGGTCTTCAGTCATCCTCAGTATCTGAAGACCAGTGTGCCAGGTAAGACACGGCTGGTATTGCCAACACTTCCCCGTGGTGCGAAAGCCTCCTTGGACCCTTCAACCGCTACCGCACTGGCTGTGTTTCCAGACAAAGATTTTGCAGTTTGTCCTTCCTTCCGTTATGGCCATCAGGTTAGAAATATTTAAATCAAAGGGATTGCAAAATACATATTTAGGAGGAAAATAGTTAAACCGAAAGTGCCGAGTCTCTACAGTTACTGTTGGAGAGTGCATCTGCATTGCTGCCTGTGAGCCCAATTCAGAGGAGAGTCTGAGAGAGTCCCAGCCCCAACTAGCAATCCACTTCATCACTCCTAATCTATGAAAAGGAGATAATACTTCAGCATCCTATGATTATGGTAAGGATACAGTCTGTCACAAAGGTACTCAGTTGCAAGGTGACTATTAATTATAAATCACATGTTTACTCCCAAAAGTTTATTTTTAGAGCCACACATCAACTGCTTAAAGTATGAATTTATCTTTCTTGCCAGGGCAATGTGCTCATTTCTTGTTCCTAATACTGGCATTTCCAACCAGTTTCTGAGACACCCTAAGCAATCAACATGTATCACTGGAGTTTTAAAACAGTTACCTGCAAGCTGTTGTTCAGCAAATCAAAGTCACTGTATCTTCTAACAATCTGTAAGAGACAAGACAGTGGTGTTTTGATTCAGCAAAGACCATCTATTTTCATTTCCTTATTTAATATTTACTAACATTAGTAATATTGGTACTCTAGAGCGAAGGCACTTGTGCTAAGGGCAGTAGGGCTTATAACTGGTGCTTAACTTGTTTAACTTGACAGGACCGAAAAAAAGACCTAGCAGTGCCTCAGAGTTGGCTGGGCCAAGAGGAAACTGGTTAATGCCAACTAAACTCACAAGACATCAATAGGTGAAAGTATTTGTATCCAGGGTGAATAGCCCTTCAAATATCTTTCTTATTAACCAGGTGATGATGAATCAGGTGAAGGTGAAGATGAATGATTTACAAATTTTTTTTTAAAAAGTTTTACTGAACATGGAATCAAAGCAAAAGGAGGGAGACACCTCTGCTCTGGATAAAACTTCCTCCAGTTGAGACCCCACCACTCTGGAGACTGGACTAAACCTGCAGGCAAAGCTGTCGCACGTCACCGATTCCCCAGGCTTTCCCTCTCGGCAGACAGTCCGCCTTCCAATGCCTACATATTCTTTCTTAGTTGTACTGATGTCATTGATTCAATGTCAAATTCTACTAGCTCCACCTGCACTCGAATGTTTATGGCAGCACAATTCACAATTGCAAAGCTGTGGAAACAACCCAAGTGCCCATCAGTTCATGAGTGGATTAATAAAATGTGCTATATGTATACCATGGAGTACTACTCAGCTTTAAGAAACAACGGTGATATAGCATCTCTTGTATATTCCTGGATAGAGCTGGAGCCCATTCTACTAAGTGAAGTATCTCAGGAATGGAAAAACCAGCACCACATGTACTCACCAGTAAATTGGTATTAATGGATCAACACCTAAGTGGACATACAGGAATAACATTTATCGGGTGTTGGGAGGGTGGGAGTGGGGAGGAAGGGATGGGTATATACAACCACAATGAGTAAGATGTACAACATTTGGGGGATGGACACGTGTGAAGCTCTTACTGGAGGGTGGAGGGGGCCATGGGCAATATATGTAACCTTAACACTTGTACTCCCATAATACGCTAAAAAAAAAAAATTCTACTAGCTCTTCTGGCTCAAATCAAGGAAATTATTTTGCTTTACAATAAATAGTTTATCTTCATACTTTATCGGTGATTTTCAAATGTTAGTGTGCAAAAGAATTACCTGGAGATTACCTGCTGGGGCTCAGAAAATGCTGCCCCAAAGTATGCCATTTTGGTAGTCTCAGTACTTTGCACTAAGGGAGATTAGAAGCCCTCAAAAGCAAGGTCTTTCTGGCCTTCTGCCCTCTTTTCTCCAGCCCCTATATCTTCCCCGAAGCGAGTCACAGAAACCAGAATCCCTCTTCCTCAAGGCAGTCATAGAAACTAGAACTCCTCTCTCCCAAAACAAGCCATAAAACTTAGAAAGGTCACTCTCTTCCTTCTTCCCTGAAGACCCTCATTCCAAAAGGGTGCTGCCCCATACCTAGGGAGTATGTATCCTCCCATACTACGGGAGTATGTATCCTCCCTCCTAGAGTCCTCCCATACTAGGAGGATGGACTGTTACACAGCGAGGTCAAGAAGAATCTAGACAGACAAGTCTTGCTAGGTCACCCCTCTACCCCCCTCAGTCTATTACCATTAGCTCATACCCTTTTTGTCCAATCATATTTCTACATAGCTGTCCATTCTTTATCAAATCTAAGCATAAAAATGGACAGTTTTCCATTTTTACTGGGTTTTTGGATCTTCATTTCTAAAGGCTACTATAGCATGTAAAACTTTAATTAAATAAATCTGTCGTGCTTTCCCTTGTTAACATGCCTTTTGTTATAGGAGTGTTGGCCATGATACTTACAATGGGGAAGGAAAGGTATCAATAGTATTATACCAACCCCACCCACAGAGAATCTAATCAGTATACCTAGGATGGGGCCCAAGAGTCTATATGACCCAGGTTTCTAATGTAATGGATCTAGAAAACTGCATCAAGGGTTGATTTTTCTGGCAAGACACTGCTGTTGGCCCTGCTTGCCAAATACACATCAAAAAGTTAAATATAAGCCCATCCCTTATAAGAACCGAGAAGCAAAAGACTGGACAGTGGTTAACCACAAAGAATATATGAATGCCAACTCTGTTCTGCCAATGATCTAGGTGTGACAAGTTACTTACCTCTTACATGTAACAGGGGGATAATACTACCATATAGGACTTTTTTTTTTTTTTTTTTGAGACAGTCTTGCTCTGTTGCCCTGGCTAGAGTGCAGTGCCGTCATCATAGCTCACTGCAACCTCAAACTCCTGGGCTCAAGCGATCCTCCTGCCTCAGCCTCCCAAGTAGCTGGGACTACAAGTGCATGCCACTGCACCCAGGGTCTCGATCTTACTTAGGCTGGTCTTGAACTCCTGAGCTCAAGTGATTCTCCCTCCTTGACCTCCCAGAATGTCAAGATTACAGGCATGAGCCACCTCGCCCAGCCAGGGACTGTTTTTAAAGGGTCAAGTGAATTAATGTGCTTGAACCAGTCCTGAACACTTAATAAGTGCTCAATAGATGTTCAATATAATAATTATTCAAACAAAAAGCAGTTTGAAATTTCAGGCAAAGAAAAGACCAAGTGTGTGCCACTGTGGTCGGAGACTGCTTAAGGTTTGAGCTGGGCTGTGAAAGACAAGGTAGGATTTTTGGATGAGGGGAAGGGCTGAGGGGTGTAATTATAATGACTAGGACAGGAAAAAAATGGCCCCTATACAGAATTTAGCCACGCTCTTCAAGTCAACTGGGATGGGAAGGATCTCTAGATCTGTCCAGAAAGTCTTTTTTCTCTGAGACCACCACTGAAGAAAACAAAGCCTAGGGCCCCAAGAAGGACCTTCCTCAGAGAAAATGAGGGAACTAGCACCAGAGTTGCCCATGAGTGGACTCAGGAATCCATTTAATGTACTGTCCCAAACTGTACAATATTCAGGATGCTGTCTCACCTTTCTACCTGGTAGACTAACCATAGCAACAGGGGAAGAGGTTTGAATTTCTAGGAACAAAACAAGTAATTTGCATATACTACTTGCTCTGAGTTGAGTTGGAGAACAAATTCCTAGATACTCTCCATGGTAACATCACACACAATTTAACCAAACTGGAAATAGAAAAGTCTGTTATAATACTTGTCTTAAAGCTAAATTTTAAAAGTTTATAGCTAAAAGAAATAGGATTTATATTTATGCATGTTCTGACTTTTTCAGATTTTTAGATGCCGCAAGTCAAGGTTTTAGTCACAAATTTAAACATTTTTCTAATTGATATAAAAAATGCTTACCTGCCAGCTGTTTTCTACAGAAATTCCTCTTTGCACCCGAATGATATATTCCTTTAAAAAAAGGGGTGGGAGAAGAGCCTCAGTTATAAAATCCTCAAATCAGGAAATCAAAAATAAGTAAAAATATCACTTAAAGCAAAATTCAGAGCAAAAAAAATTACCAGAGACATAAGGAGACATTACATAAAGACAAAAGAGTAATCTACCAGGAAGGCAGAGCAATCCTAAATGTGCATGTATCAAACAACAGAGTTATAAAATACATGAAGCAAAAACTGATAAAACTAAAAGAAGAAATAGACAAACCTACAATTATAATTGGAGACTCAGCCATTGATAGAATAACTAAACAGAAAACCAGTTAGGATATAGAACTCAGCAATAAATACCATCAACCAATAAGATTTAATTAGTGTTTATAGAGCAGTCCATCCAATAATAACAGAATTAGATGAAATAACACCTTTTTTCAAGGACCATGCTATATAGACCAATATGGATCATATATTGAGCCATAAGATAAATCTTTAAAACTTTAAAAGAATTGAAATCAGGGGCAGGCATGGTGGCTCATGCCTGTGATCCCAGCACTATGGGAGGATTGCTTGAGGCCAGGAGTTCCAGATTTGCCTAGACAACATAGCAAGACCTTGTCTCTACAAAATATAAGAAAAATTAGCGAGGCGTGGTGGTGTGCACCTATAGTTCCAGCTACTTAGGAGGCTGAGGCAGAAGGATTGCTTAAGCCCATGAGTTCAAGGCTGCTATGAGCTATGATCACAACACGACACTCCAGCCTGGGTGACAGAGTGAGATCCTGTCTCAAAACTAACTAACTAAATAAAAATAAAGAAACCATGCAAACTAGAAATTAATAATAGAAAGATAACAAGAAAGTCTCCACAAACAGTTGGAAACTAAATAACACACTTGTAAATAAGTCATGGGTCAAAGATGAAACCTCAAGGGAAATTTTTAAAAAGACATTGAACTGAAAGAAAATACAGCATATCAAAATTTGTGGGACACAGTAAAGTAGTGCAGAAAGGGAAACATAAACACTAAATGCTTGTACTAGAAAAGAGGAAAAGTATCAAATCAATCATCTAAGCTCTACCTCAGAACCTAGAAAAAGAAGATAGGAAGGAGATGATAATAAACTCAAAGAGAGCAGAAAAAGGGAAATAAAGAGCAGAAATTAATAAAATTGGCCCGGCATGGTGGCTCACACCTGTCATCCTAGCACTATGGGAGGCCAAGGTGGGAGGATTGTTTGAGCTCAGGAGTTCCGAGACCAGCCTGAGCAAGAGCAAGACCCCATCTCTACTAAAAATAGAAAGAAATTAGCTAGACAACTAAAAGTATATATATAAAAAATTAGCCGGGCATGGTGGCGCAGGCCTATAGTCCCAGCTACTCGGGAGGCAGGAGGACTGCTTGAGCCCAGGAGTTTGAGGTTGCTGTGAGCGAGGCTGATGCCATGGCACTCTAGCCCCAGCAACAGAGTGAGACTCTGTCTCAAAAAAACAAAAAACCACCAAAAATAAACCCCAGAAATCAATAAAGTTGAAAACAGAGAAACAGAGAAGATCAATTAAATAATACACTGATTCTTTGAAAAGATCAATAAAATTGACAAACCTCCAGCAAAACTAACAGAGAAAGAAGAGATAAGACACAAACTACTATTATTAGGAATGAAACAGGCTATCACTACAGACTCTGTAGACACCAAAAGGGTGAGGAAATGCCATGAACAAACCTACAGACATAGATTTGACAGCTTAGATGAAATGGACCACTTCCTCAAAAAACTGTAAGTACTACAACTCTTCCAATATGAAATAGATGATTTGACAATCTCTATAACTATTAAGGAAATTAAATTTATGACTTAAAAACTCCCCAAAAGGGGGGAAGGGGTCTGCCGGCCCCCGAGGTGGGGGCCGAATGCCACTCTTCGCCTCTTAAAAAATAAAAAAATAATACAAATAATTTTTAAAACTCCCAAAAAAGAAATATCCAGGGCCAATAGTTTCACTGGGTAATTCTTTTTAAAGAATATCAAATCTATACAAATTCTTCCAAAAAAAAAAAAAAAATAGAAGGAATACATCCCAATTCATTTGATGAAGTTACTATTACCCCAATACCAAAACCAAAGTTTTGGTATTGGGGTAATAGTACAAAAAAAGTACAGTACAAAAAAAGAAAACTACAGACCAATATCATTCATGAACATAGACTCAAAAATCCTTTCCAAAATATTAGTAAACAGAATTCAGCAATATATAACAAGAATTATAGGAGAAGAAAAAGAAGAAAGAAGAGAAGGACAAAGAGCGAGAGAGGGGAGAAAAGCCAAAAAAGAAGAATATGTCGGCCTACCAGGTGTTCTGTAAAGAGTATCATGTAACCATTGTGGCTGACCATCCAGGTATAGATTATGGGGAACATAGTAAAAAACTGGCTGAGGTGTGGAAGCAATTGCCAGAAAAGGACAAACTGATTTGGAAGCAAAAAGCTCAGTATCTGCAGCACAAACAGAACAAAGCAGAAGCGACAACTGTGAAAAGAAAAGCATCCAGTTCAGAAGGTTCCATAAAACTAAAAGCTTCTTCTGCAGGAGTACTGTCACCCCAGAAGAGGTCCCCACGCACCACCATGCTGTTACCAGCCTCGCCAGCCAAAGCGCCTGAGACAGAGCCCATTGATGTTGCTGCTCATCTTCAGCTGCTGGGAGAGTCTCTAAGCCTCATGGGTCACCGCCTGCAGGAAACTGAGGGCATGGTGGCTGTGTCTGGTAGTCTGTCAGTGCTTCTGGATTCCATCATCTGTGCCCTTGGCCCCTTGGTGTGTCTGACCACACAACTACCTGAATTGAATGGCTGTCCCAAGCAGGTCTTGTCAAACACACTAGACAACATTGCTTACATCATGCCTGGACTCCCGAGACAGAAACCTTATCCTACACCATTGCTGGTTTGTGTATATATGACTGTTCCGGATCCCTTCACTGGCCTCTGGGTGTAGGTTTTAAATTTTTATACCTATACATACATACATACATATATATATATATATACATACATATATATATATATAATGTAAAATATATACATAGGACTGTAATTACTTTGCTTTGAATAATTTTATGAAATGGTAAAGGTTTAGCTAAGAGGAAACTTCAGCATGAATATGGGCCTGGGATTCTTTTTTCCTGTGGTGGATAAATCTGCCTTAAAAATCAATGTAACGTGGGGGCTGGGGGCTTGTTCTAGGTGCCAAGCGCATCTCTTTATGGACAGCTAAAATGTGATTATTTTTCCAAACTCAGCTGGACCTCCAGACCCGTCACTGACCATTTGCCTTACCTGTCTTACAGTCTGAAATATAATGGGAAAGATTATGGAAGGATGCCAGTTGACTGAAAATACACAGCTTTTCTATTTGAAGTGACCTAGGTAGGAGGTGATAAAGTCATTCCCATGACAGTTATTGAGATGACTTAGGTGAACTGAGTAGAGAGTTTATTCTGATGCCTATTATACAGGTGTCCACGTCTCAAACTTTATTGTAATCATTGGTAGCCTCAATAGAGGCCAAGGAGTTATGCGAGCCCTGGCCGCAGAAAATACCTTGAAATGGGTAAAGTTGTCAGTGCCACCAGTTGAACCTACATATATTCTGAGCTGACCCAGAATATTTGGTGTGCAACACCAAGAGCTGGTATCTTTCACTGGCAGCATTAAGTTTGCCACCAAGTTTTTACATGCTGCTGCTTAGTTGCTTGGTTGTTGTGGATAAACTTTGCCCAGCACTATTCTTGGGTTCATCTTATGGGTTCCCCTGGTGGGCAAATTACAGTGTTCTGCATTCCACATTTAAGTGAACTGCAAAAAAAAGTACTCAGTTCTCATGTAGGTTTATTTATGTGTGCGTGTGAATGTGTATTTCAATTATGTGTATTTAACTCTTTAAAAATCTCTTAGATTTTAATTTATCCTGTAAATTTCTGTATATATAATTTAATAACAAAAGCCTCCACCAGCAACAGCAGGTGGAAGATACAGATGTGTCATTTCTCCCTTCCTTCCTCTGGTCTGCTCTGAAAACTCTAAATCATCTACATATTAAGGTATCAAAAGTAATCATTATATTAGGATTCTAATTCTTTATAAAGAATTTCATGGCCTTCAATAATGTCAAGAAAGTAAAATAAAAAGGAATGTTACCATTCCCAGCTGCCCTTATTTCCAAAGAACCTGACTTTTGATTCCCAGTTGGAAAGGAGACAGTTGAGCACTTCAGGGTTGTTTTTAAATTTAGTGTGAGATTCCGTACCAAAACCAAGCTCTGGGATAACTGTGCTTTCTTCTCCTGGCCTCGACAGAGCACTATAGCATCAAAAAAAATCTCTGGGGACAGGGCAGCCAGCCTGCGTCCTATTTTACTCCTTCCCTTCTCCCACCAGTGTTGTCATAGGGCTGTGCTGCTTAAAGGTATTCTGGCTGCTGAATCCCTGTCTCAGCTCAGAGCAGTTTTGAGATTTAATTGGGGAAACAGACTCCGTGGGAGTTTCCTGTTTGATACTGGGGTAGCTAGTGGGGGTCTAGAACACACGAACAGTACAGGAAGAAGTCAGTCCTACCATTGTCATAGTACACATTAATGAAATCCTGATGAGGACCTGCTTTTTGTTTGTTTGTTTTCCTTTGAAACCCAGCCCTATTGTATTTGTATTTAAATTTGTACACATTTGTATGATAATATGTACCTTGTGGTATTTGGTACTATTAGAGGAAAAACTTTGCATTCAGACCTTCTTGCAGTTTTTGTATCATTGTTTTATTTTGTTTTTTAAATAAATTCTAGTGTTTGATCCAAATCCCATTACAGTTGTATAAAGAAATAAAATTTTGTACTTATATTATTAAAAAAAAAAAAAAAAGAATTATACACCATGACCAAGTGGAGCTTATTCCAGGGACACAAGGCTGTCTCGCTATTTGGAGACTGACAGTTTAACACACCATATTAACAGGCTAAAG